GCTTCAGCTTTAATTAAACTCTTGTGACATGTGAATGTTAACTTTAGTTCCTTTTATTTTCCTTATGGATTTACTATACTTCCGATTTCTCCCAATACCTGTGACTTCGACGATGTACACTCAAAATGCAAAAGAACAATTTCGTCTATTAAGAGGGAACGACAGACAATTGTTTCTAGAGGAGAATTTACAGTTTCGTTCTCTCCTATATATCCCCTCTGTAAACACTTCTATTTGAAATTTGAAAACTGTTATGAGGTCCTTATATGTTATAAGTTATTTACGTATCTGTTAGGTGCCATAGTAGGCGTTATCAGTTATCGGGTATAGGCATAGAAATAAAGTAAACGTTGTAAAACTGTGAAAAAGTGAATAAAAGTGGGAAAGTGAAAAGTTGAGGTGTACGCATTTTCACGGAGTGATTACCCCCTCGTACGGACCACATACGGCATACAGATAATACTCGGACCGCGTACGAACCGTATACTTCACCTGTATGCACACATATGAATTGTATATGGAACGTATACAGTTTGTATACAGTATGTATGTATACGGGGTGGGTTTCACGGGCCTGAAAGACAAATTTGTTTTGTGGACATGTTTGTCCCAGCAAGTGGACGTTTAAATCCTTCCCTTTTGTAACAACTTTTTTTCCAAGGAAGGAACAATTATTGTAAGCAAAAATTTGTCCCTTCTGTTGACACGTGTTTGTCCATAGATCTCTTGTCTGCGGCTATGGAGAAACACTTTGTTGCTTAAGTAACAAAACAAAAATTCCTTCACATTTAGAGTGTACATAACAGCCTCTCCCAAAAACTTGAAGAATTCTTTACACATTTGAAAATCTTTAAGAAATGAGTGTCCTTCCAACATTCACGATAGACCTTTACAGAAATACTAATATAAATGAGAAGCCCCTTGAATCACTGTCAGTATCTATCAGATAGAAGAAACTTTCAGAATATAGGAACAAGCAAAGCAGGAAACTAGAAGTACTACAAATCTGGGGGATTACATGATGCTCACCATCTGCAACAGCTCGAGCGAAAAGTTCCAGTGTCAGGCATCCTTCTCACAACTGTGAATAACGCATCCCGTAATGACAGCACCAAATGACCTACAACCTGTAATCAATCAAACACAATCGGCTAGTTTCAACTATCACTACAAATTGTTCAAGCACACTGTCAAAGCAGTGAAATGCTTACCAGAACATACTCTGAATACTTGTCTGCCAGCTCCTAGACGTTCCGAACACAGCCTTAGAGAGAGAATATTAAGGGGAGAGTATACTGAAAAAATTGATAAATCACCTAATTTATGAATTAATCAAGTTGAAATCTAAACAAGAGACAAAATCAAAAAAGTACTCTGTAATTGTTGTAGTATGCACTTTGAGGATTAATTTAAGGTATAGAATGCCAAAAGTCTACCAAAAAACTGTGCGCACAGAAGTTTTAAAAGTTACGTAAACTTTTAAGTTAAAAAAGTTCTATGCGCAAAGTTTTTTTTATGGATTTGGACATTCTATAGCTTAAATGAGTTTTTAAAGTGAGTACTACTACTATTATAAACCACTTTTTTGATATTGTCTCTTGTTTAGATTTTAAGCATTTCAGTATACCCTCCCCTTAAAGCAGGAAACACAAGCCATTGATGATGGGCAGGGATAGATTCATTTTACCTGTTAGACACTGTAAAATAATCTTGCCCTGAACGTTCCCACCCATTTTTTCCAAAAATAAATTCCCACCAATTAAGTCCCAAATTTAGTTTACCAATGCACACTTTTTCCCAATAATAAATTCCCAATTTGAATTTCCCAATGTCTTATTTTGGGGGTTGGCAGTGCTTTTGGTTTACACTGGAAATGCAAGTGTGTGAATGTCGCTCACCTGCAGATGAGCGACATTCCATTCGTACACTTAGGGGGGTAAAGGTGTGAATTTTTCCTAGACTTTGTGTTACTAGCCTGTCTGGTATCTTTTACTAGATTCCTAATTGGTTCCTATTTTACTAGACTGTCTGGTACCTGGCAATAAGATCCTAGTAACTGCTACTAGTATTTTATTTTCAGTGTGCCAAAAATGCCTCAACACTTTTCACTCTGTCTTGCCATGTTCTCTAGACATAGACGATGACAAAAAAATTTGCAAAACTCGATACCTACAAGGAAGACACACGTACTTCTGGGC